AGCGTCGGAGACGCCGGAATCGGCAGAGGAGCGGGTGGAATTGACGATGGAGATGGTGGCGGCAAGAGATGAAAGGAGGTGGCCGAGTTTTGTGAGGTTGCGAGACAAGCAGGTGCAATAAACGGGCCGGTTGAGCTTGACGAGTTGGCGTCGAAGCAGGCGCCGGTGAGGGAGTACATGCTCGGTTCTCGGGTCAGGAAATCCGAGTCCCGGTGGCCCGAGGGAGCTGGAGGTCGAGTGGAGAAGGCAAATGGCGCGGGAAGGTGTCACGGAGACGAGGGGGAAAAAGAACAAAATCACTGACCCCTCGTCAGGTAGGCCCAAGACCCAAGCAGATCGGTACCTGCCGAAGATGTGGCTTCCAGTTGGGTCAAAGTCACCTTCCGCCGGAGAGACTGGGTTTGACCTTCAAAGACGCTATCTCGAAAGTCATGTCATGTCTGGTTCCGGCATGGAATGTATTCATTTACGGCTCCGATCCTGGTACATCTTGCGGAAGCAATGCCAAAATCAACTCTAAAAACCGGATTTTTGCACATCCATCTGTTGACGTCATCTCCACTCTCGGCTTCTCCGGCCAATCATGTCAAGTTTTGCGCATTTAGATGCCATGACAACACTTTATTTACAAATTGGCCACTACGCATTACGCAATAATCGTCTCGAAAGCCTGATTATATACGAAAAAGTGCAGACTTTAATTTTATATGAAAGTGTGTCTGATTCATGCTCTCTCGGTTTAGGTGAAAAAATGCGGAAATTGGCAGAGCAGAGGTTCATGCTTGCATATGCTTGCATATGCTATATTTGGCCATAGCCAAATACGAAATCATATAAATATAGAATGATGTGATGAATTATCTTCCATATAAGTCAGGGTACGTTTACTTGTGTGTATGTATGTGTAAATGTGTGCGTGTGGGTGTCAACTTGTGTTCACAATAAAGGTCATAACTGAGAGGATTTGTAAGAAAGCCTAACATCAGATCTGGATCATCAAGGCTAAATGAATCAAGGGAAAGCATGAGCAATTTTGCGTCAGTCCTTCAGCAACTATGGATGAGAGGGTGAGATGTGAGTCTGTACGCTTGTCAGTCAGGCTACGAAACCGGCTTTCATAGGCCTCGATCTGGGTTCTTTAAGAATTAGTGAGCCAAGAAAATGCAGTATTGTGGTTGCGTAATAATCATCAATGAACAGATTCGCCTTATTATGTCGGTGGATCTTTCCATTCCATCCAACAAGCATACATAATTCACACTCAACTTTCTGCTGTCATTCCTTACCTCCAATAAGCTATTCATTTCAATAGTCTCTCTTAACTTCCGCTTAACAAAAGACGTACCAAATGAAATTGTTGAGCATATTTCCATTTCGAGTGAAACTTTGTGTTTACCCACGACTTCAGTTGTCTAAGGTCGGACACAGGTCTAGTTAAATCGCTACCAATTTTTGGATGTGCATGTGTGCGTGAGAGAGAAATGAGACGAACATAAAGTGTATGAAGCAAAGCTTGGTTTGGAGGAATCCCTAAACAGATTGATGATGGCATATCTTTTACTTCTTTTGACGAGGTCAGTGAGGGGAGTGGTAAGTTGGCCTCATCAGAAATCGAAGGAGGATGATATGCGAAGAAAAATTTGGTTTCCAGGAATCTCTTGTTTCATAATTGTTGTGCTTACTTCCAATTCAAGTGAAAGTGTTGCGTGAAGAGATTCGGAGGTCGAGCCCACCAGAAGACGACGGCGGATTCCTGTTGACCAGCTGTCGATTGGCTTTACTGGAACATTCTTGTTGACGCTGTTTCCGAGGCAATCTCCTTCGAT